CATTTATATCCCATTCTATGTTAAGCCCATGAGGGGGAAAACACTTTCAAATTAAAAATCCACCTGGTCCCAAGCCTAGACATTCCCCTTTCCACATAACTACACCTCCAGTGAGGATCATATTTATCGAGAGTCAAAAAAAGTACTAGAAGGGTTCTTATTGTGGCACAGCATGTAATGCTTAGATACGCTATGCCCTTTATACCCTCTTTTGATGTTACCTATATGTTCATTTAATCTTACCTGCAGGGCTCTTGTGGTCCTCCCTACAGACTGAAGGCCACAGGGACACTGTCCCTGATGCTGCAGGTGCAGACTCACTGGGGGTGTAGCAGCTGCTTGAGGTGTTTTGTGTTGCATGGCACTGCTTAAAAGCCTATCCACATATGTGGATTGTTTTACCTGCCAAAGCATTTGAATTTCAATCTTGTAACACCGACATACTGCAAAGCTGCTTATACCACTATTCCCTCCATTAACTAAGTGGATCAATACCATGTCCCTGATAACTTATCTAATGAGCAAGGGACAGCAATCTCAACACCTAAAAGAGGAAAAGCTGGTGTCACCTGTCCAGTGATGTGGTCAGACTGAGTAGAAATGCAGGTCGTTTGTTTCATCTGTGTATTTATCTGTTTGCCTGGCATTTTATTTATCATTTTTTTAATATAAACAGGATTATTGGGAACTTCAGGATAAAGCATGGCAACTGCATTCTGAATATGGCTGTTTGTAGCAGAGGATATTAGACTGTAACATATGGTTTTCAGACCGAGGTAGAGTTGTATATCTAATGTTGAGGTATAGTTGTTTTTGCTCCATTTCTTCTGAAGAGTAGGCTCGAAGGATGATGGGGGTTGAAGCTTCCATGGTAGAGTATATACAGGAGGTTTTACTCTTAGTTCAGCTCATAGGATCTGTAATAAAAGGACAGAAAGTAACAGCAATGGTGGCTCAACAAGGAAGGCATCATGCTGCACATTTTCTTTTATTACATATGAAAAACAAATAGGTGGCAACATTATGCAATATGTTTGGGCATACTTTGATACTGAGCCAATGATCCTCCGTTCACTGTGCACAATACTGACTCAAAAACATGGACCAGAGCAGGTATACTAGGCTAAACTCATCTAATATACATGGAGACGAGTTGGCGCAAGTTAGATGTCCATTGTCAGGTCCATATCCCCACTATGAGGGGAGAAAAAAGCCAATCTGAGGGGGAGGAGAAGACCATTGCTGTATCTGGCAGAAGATCCACGGGGGTACCTAGATGGTCGTCACTTCAAGGCTGCCTTCAGGGTAGAGCAGAATCGGGTCTCCAATGTCACATGTGAAAGAAGGTAGAGAAGGCGCCACTGAGTGCAGACCATTTACTCACATTATAGAAAGTAAATACAGGCACACCTGGAGTCCAATGTAGTCCTCCAGGACCAGTTGGCATAGGCTGCAGGTCAAGGCATCCAGGTCCAAGGTCCAGGGGCCGGCAGTGAGGTGGAATGGGACCCGAACAACCGCTATGGTGTGCGGTGGAACGCAGATGGAAGGCATAGTTTGGTCTAAGCATTTCACCAGAAGTGATTTGACCATGTTTTGGAGCATGTGCACCAACTCTGGGGGCGCGCTCCTTTGTCAAACTCAGACAAAGGAGCTTGACAAAGGAGTGTGCCCCTAGAGTTGGAGCGCTTGCTCTGAAACATTGTCGCATCACTTCCTGTGACGCGGTTACACCAAATGCTGCGTTCCACCGCACACCGTAGCGGTTGTCCAATCCCATTCCACTTCACAGCAGGCCACTGGACCTTGGAACTGGACACCTTGACCCGCAGCTTATGCCAACCAGTCTCGGAGGCCTACATTGGACTCCAGATGTGTATTTACTTTCTGTAATGTGAGTGTATATTCACAGCATTGCTTTTTAATAAAGTGTATAATGGTCTGCACTCAATGGCGCCCTCTCTACCTTCTTTCACATAAACTACTGTAATCTAATCAGATATAATCTGGGAGTGTATGGACACCTTGAAGGGGATATATCACATTTTTAATAACTGGTTTAAAAGTAACTTCAGAACTTCTACAATTACTTCAATACCTCCACTTCTGCTACTTAAAACTTAAACTCCCTGATGCATAAAAGTAACAATATTAAATGGAAAGCATCTGTAGTCAGGAAAATATGATATATTAAACAAATAATGTATCAAATTTACTTCTTCCAGGAAATTGTTGCTTCCTGCTGTGAATACAGATTTGAGTAGCAGAATCTCATGTAACTTACATACAAGGTAAAATACATAAAGCTCAATGAGGAGAGGTCCAATCATCCTCTTCAGCTATAGACAATCTCTTGTACATCTGATAAGTTATACTAGGAACTTTCATAGCAAGAAGTAGGATGGAATGGATTATAAGGCTGGATGTAGCAGCACCGCTGACAAGGAATAAGAAGTCTAAGTGGTAGGAAGGGGGGGATTCCCTGATTTACGTGGACTGTTTCTAAAACTTGGAGTGTAAAGTTTAGTCAAAAATCTACTAAGGCCAGGGTTTTTTTTCAGCTAGAACTTGGTGGAAATCAGTTCCACCACCTTTGGCTCAGGCCCTCTGCTCCTGCTCAGCACTGTCACTTGTAAACATCTGTGTTTATGTGACAGTTTTGTCTCCCAATGGCTCCCACAGATCTCCTGAGCGGGTCCCACTGAGTGCAGGATGGAGAAAAGGGAAAAGCAAATGCCCGGGGTACAGTGCAGACGCTGACATCCTCAATGGATGAACTCCCTGCAAGTGAAAGAGGTGGAACCACATACAGTATGTAGGAAGGTACTAGAACCATGCCATAACATGTGCAAGATGGTGGGGGGAAAAAATGGGGCAGTGGAGGGGGGAGGGTTGCATGCATGAGGTCAGAGCTGAAGAGGGGTGAAAGTGAGTTGTGGATGGGGCATGCAGTGGTAAACAGCAGTGGAAAAAGGCTGAACTCTGCATTCTGTGTGTAGTGCACCCCTGAACTCTGCACCAGGGCGGACTGACCATTTGGAAACTTGGGCACTGCCCGAGGGCCTGGGGTCAGTAGGGGGCCCCATGAGATGCCCCTGGTACCTTTTTCATAGGCTTTTTTGAGTTTGGGCAAGGACACAGGGGCCCCATGATCCCCTATTGCCTTGGGCCCCATGAGTTGTCAGTCCGCCCCTGCTCTGCACTATGTATGTAGCACACCCCCAAACTCTGCATGTAGCGCACCCTTGAACTCTGCACTATGTATGTAGCACACCCCCAAACTCTGCATGTAGCGCACACCTGAACTCTGCACTATGTATGTAGCTCACCCCGAACTCTGTATGTAGCACACCCCTGAACTATGCACTATGTATGTAGCACACCCCCAAACTCTGCATGTAGCGCACCCCTGAACTATGCACTATGTATATAGCTCACCCCCGAATCCTGCATGTAGCGCACTCCTGAACTCTGCACTATGTATGTAGCTCACCCACGAACTCTGCATGCAGTGCACCCCTGAACTCAGCACTATGTATGTAGCTCACCCCGAACCCTGCATGTAGCACACCCCTGAACTATGCACTACGTATGTAGCGCACACCCCCAAACTCTGCATGTAGCGCACCCCTGAACTATGCACTATGTATGTAACACCCCCCCAAACTCTGCATGTAGTGCACCCCTAAAATATGCGCTATGTATGTAGCACACCCCCAAACTCTGCATGTCACCGCACCCCTGAACTCTGCGCTATATATGTAGCACACCCCTGAACTCTGCATGTAGTGCAACCCCGAACTCTGCATGTAGTGCACCCCTGAACTATGCACTATGTATGTAGCACAACCCCGAACTCTGCATGTAGCCCACCCCTGAACTATGCACTATGTATGTAGCACACCCCGAACTCTGCATGTAGCATACCCCTGAACTATGCACTATGTATGTAGCACACCCCAAACTCTGCATGTAGCGCACCCCTGAACTCTGCGCTGTATATGTAGCACACCCCTGAACTCTACATGTAGCGCACCCCAAAACTCTGCGCTATGTATGCAGTACACCACTGAACTCTACATGTAGAGCACCCCTGAACTCTGCGCTATGTATGTAGCTCACCCCCAAACTCTGCATGTTGCACCCCCCCAACTCTGCGCTATGTATGTAGCTCACCCCCAAACTCTGCATGTTGCACCCCCCCCAACTCTGCGCTATGTATGTAGCACACCCCTGAATGCTGCATGTAGCACACCCTGAACCCCTGAACTCTGCGCTGTGTATGTAGCACACCCCCGAACTCTGCATGTAGCGCACCCCTTGAACTTTGTACTCTGTGAAAAAAACCCCCCCCCCCCCCCACCAATCTCAATATGTAATGCACTCTTGGCATTTAATGCCCCGTTAGGACCCTCCCACTGTTAGTGAAATTTGACCACACCCACTGATGTGGTATGGAGGGTGTGTGTGTGGGAGAGGGGTTTTGGGGGGTCATGGTTGAGTTCCTGCACCTTCACTATAGAGGAGGGACAGCCGACAACCGATGCCCATAGTAACCCTATTGGTGACATCATCTCCCAGGCATTTGCAGTTGTTCTTGCCGATCTCTCCTCTACACAGAAGCCGCCCCCTGGAGAGATCAGTATAGGTAAGTATACACGGGGTTAGACAGAATGAGGATGGGAGCAGATTTAGCCTTAGTTATACTTTGAATAAACTTCCATTTTAATCCCCCTGGAGGTATTCCTGAGTGTAGCTCGGAGTAAAGTTTCAGTACCACAAGCGGTAACCCTGAGCTACACTCGGGAATACCCTGCAGCGTTTCTCAGGGATTCCCTCCAGCACTTACCTTGTCCTGCGCTCCCGCGACGTCCCTCCTGCAGTGTCCCCGGCCATCTCCTCCGGCCGATGTCGGCATCCGTCTTCTGGGTTCCGTCCCCTGCAACGTCGGGACGTATGGGGGACAGAACGGTGGGAATTTAAAAATGTTAAAAAGTGACATTCACTAAATACACTAAAATCTCATAGTATTACATTACTGTATCAAACCATTTCACATACATTTTGTCCCGAGTGCTTTGTCCGGCGCCCTGCCTGCATTTTTACTGTTCTTTCTGCCTGGAAACTGAGAAACGTCCAAAAAGCATCCCTTTAGGTCAAAAGCGGTTTTAGACCGGCTAGAGAACAGCGATAGTAAATCAGAACCACTTGCAGAATTGAGTGATAATGATTTGTGGGGAAATTCCTCATCAGACACCGAAAACGATTCTGCGACTTTGCTGGGTGATGTGCGAACTTGGCGCTATATTTAAAATTTCAGTGTTTTTGGTTTGATTACATTATTGAATTAAATTTATTATTACTATATTATTTTTTATGATTATTTATTAAATTATAATTTATGATTTTGTGTTTAAAATTTTATTATACCCGGGATGTTTACTAGACTCTTGTTCGGACAGATTTCAGTGACTTATTCCTAAGAATTACAAGCCTACAATAAAAAAAGACATATTTCCATGCAAAAAAATGTACCGCTTTGAGCACAGAAATACTGACATAATCATACCGCTAGGGAGGTTAATTAAACACCCTAAAAAGAAAATCAGAGGTGAGTTTTTTGGCAGAGGAGACTCTGCATGTCTCTTTGGATTTCTCTGGGGTAAAAAGGTGCAGAAAGGACGTGCTAAATAAATGCAGGGCAAAAAACAATTTGTATACTCACTGTTTTGCTGTACAGGCAGGAATCTGGCACCTGAAGACAAACACACAGAAATAGAATTTCTTGGATTTGTAAGTTAAAAATGAGGAAATAAAAGTCCACTAAGGTTGGTGAAAATACCTTTTGTATTTCGCAGATACACAAGAAGCCCAACAATGAAGAACACCAATCCCAGGGCAAACCCCACCAAACCGGTTAGAGTCTTGCTTCGAGCAGATTCAGATGTCTGGAATTCTACAATAGAAAAACATGACAGACAGTTCTGTCCATAAATAAAGAACATTTAACCCTTCATGATCAAAACAAACCTTAATGCCTAAAGCCAGTTTTGCAACCTTTGACAAGTTAGCAAAACTGTATGTTTTCCTACCTAAGGCTTGGTTCACACCTATGCAGTTTGCGTTTGATCCATTTCTGAGGTGTGTTTTTGCACATGCTTTTTTGACACATTTGTGATGCATTTTGCATTTTTTTTTTTTCAACTTGTTGCTGGGCAGATTCAAACGCAAAACACATAAAAAATGCACTACATGCATTTCTGCAGCATCTCCATTGATGTCTATTGAACCAAAAACACATTTTGCGTTTAAAAAAGTCCCTGACCCTTTCCAAAAAACGCACCGGGTGATTGGCCTATGACAGTTCAAGAGTGCAAAAAGATGAGCCATTACTAGGACTTATTTTGCTTACTGCACTGTGTGTATAGTGGTATTTCACTATATAATTGATTTAATCCTTGAAGGATCAGTTCACTTAAAAAAAAAAAATGCACATTTTTTTAAGGTAAAAAATGTGCATTTACTATTTTTTTTAGGAAGCCTGGAAAGCATTGCACCTGCAATCAGCATATAGTGGTTGCCATGCAGGTCTCCTACAGACTGTCAGTGTAAGCTGTCTGCCCGTACATCATATATTGTATGGGCAGGCAGTTTCACACTGACAGGAAGAATCAATGATCTACCAGAGTGCTTTAGGCTGGGTTCACACTCATGCGATGCGTCATATTGCATGTGATTCACACAGGAACCGCACCGCATTCCTGTACAAATCACATGCGATTTCTGTGCAGTGCGATTTGAGACATTCATTATGCATGGCTCAAATCGCACCACATCCCCACCAAAAAGGTGCAGGATCCTTTTTTGGGTCTATACTTACGCGATCCGATTCTGCATATCGCACCGCATTTTGCGGACCGATTTTGGGTTGTTGTTAACTTAACGTACACACCCGCAGCGGTTCGCATGAACGGGGTGCGAATGTGATGCGGTGCGGAATTCGCACAGAAAACGCTGAGAATTATGTACCACATCAGTGTGAACCCGGGCTAACAGTGCCCTGGTAATTTGCAAAGGCTGTTGGTACTTGTAGTTTTCACATTCACAGAACACAGGGTGGACCTCTACGCAACCGTGTTTTTTAAAAAAGTGTGACAGTGAGCAGGGGGGAGAAGATCCCCTGCTTGCTGTCACAACGGGGAATCGGGGATGTGGGGGCCAGTGCTACAGTAACATGTTACACCCTGAATATGGGTGTAACATGTTAGGAAAGGTGAACTTATCCTTTAAAATATATCTAAAGTCAAATGTTTTTTTTTAATTGTGGATGGAGTAGAAAATGGTTAGAACCCTAGTCAGCTTTTTTGCTGTGTCCCACTGGGGAAACTTCCCTGAACATCCTGCTTTATAAATAAGAGTGGTAATCTTCTCTAAGTGAAGGAAATTGCCTCTTAGACAGTTCTCATTGGACCAGGTATCCCCTCTGGAAGGCTCCCCTTATCCCAGCGGTCGCCATCCTTTCAGACCTCACGGGCCACTAAACTCATAATTTTAAAACCCGCAGACCACTAATATGAATTTTTAAAAAAGATTTATATAAAAGGAATGCAGCGCTCTTAAAAAGTGAAAAATGATAATAATAAACACAGTCCGGTGAAAAACAGTGCTCCTTGTTTCCCAGTGTAAGTGGTAGAATTTCGCACTAACCAGATAGCGCATAGGTAATGCGCATATGTGTATATACAGTCATGGCCGAAATTGTTGGCACCCTTGATATTTCTCCAGGAAATCATGTATTTCTCACGAAACGTATTGCATTAACACATGTTTTGCTATACACATGTTTATTCCCTTTTGTGTGTATTGGGACAAAACAAAAAAAGGAGGAAAGAAAGCAAATTCGACATAATGTCACACAAACCTCCAAAAATGGGCTGGACAAAAGTATTGGCACCCTTTCACAACTGCGGATAAATAAGAATGTTACAAGCATGTGATGCTCCTGTAAACTCACCTGGGGCAAGTAACAGGTGTGGGCAATATAGAAATCACACCTGAAAGCAGATAAAAAGGAGAGACGTTCACTTAACCTTTGCATTGTGTGTCTGTCTGTGCCACACTAAGCATGGACAACAGAAAGAGGAGACGAGAACTGTCTGAGGACCTGAGAACCAAAATTGTGGCAAAATATCAACAATCTCAAGGTTACAAGTCCATCTCCAGAGAACTAGATTTGCCTTTGTCCACAGTGCGCAACATTATCAAGAAGTTTGCAACCCATGGCACTGTAGCTAATCTCCCTGGTCGTGGACGGATGAGGAAAATTGATGAAAGATTGCAACGCAGAATAGTCCGGATGGTGGATAAGCAGCCCCAAACATGTTCCAAAGACATTCAAGCTGTCCTGCAGGCTCAGGGAGCATCAGTGTCAGCGCGAACTATCCGTCGACATTTAAATGAAATGAAACGCTATGGCAGGAGACCCAGGAGGACCCCACTGCTGACACAGAGACATAAAAAAGCAAGACTACAGTTTGCCAAAATGTACTTGAGTAAGCCAAAAGCCTTCTGGGAAAACGTCTTGTGGACAGATGAGACCAAGATAGAGCTTTTCGGTAAAGCACATCATTCTACTGTTTACCGAAAACGGAATGAGGCCTACAAAGAACAAAACACAGTACCTACGGTAAAATATGGTGGAGGTTCAATGATGTTTTGGGGTTGTTTTGCTGCCTCTGGCACTGGGTGCCTTGACTGTGTGCAAGGCATCATGAAATCTGAGGATTACCAAAGGATTTTGGGTCGCACTGTAGGGCCCAGTGTCAGAAAGCTGGGTTTGCGTCCAAGATCCTGGGTCTTCCAGCAGGACAATGACCCCAAACATACGTCAAAAAGCACTCAGAAATGGATGGCAAAGAAGCGCTGGAGAGTTCTGAAGTGGCCAGCAATGAGCCCAGATCTAAATCCCATTGAACACCTGTGGAGAGATCTTAAAATTGCTGTTGGGAAAAGGTGTCCTTCCAATAAGAGAGACCTGGAGCTGTTTGCAAAGGAAGAGTGGTCCAAAATTCCGGGTGAGAGGTGTCAGAAGCTTATTGATGGTTATAGGAAGCGACTGATTTCAGTTATGTTTTCCAAAGGGTGTGCAACCAAATATTAAGTTAAGGGTGCCAATACTTTTGTCCAGCCCATTTTTGGGGTTTTGTGTGACATTATGTCATATTTGCTTTTCTGCCTCTGTTTTATATTTGTTCCAATACATACAAAGGGAATAAACATGTGTATAGCAAAACATGTGTTAATGCAATACCTTTTTTGTGTGAAATACTTGATTTTCAGGAAAAATATCAAGGGTGCCAACAATTTCGGCCATGACTGTATATCCTGAAGATCCTCTCTCCACTTGAGTCTGGTCAGGTATATGGCTGGGAAGAATGGAGATCCTACGCCCTCGTGTGGTGAGAAGTAAATCGGCAGGTCAGAGCAGTAACGATCTAGGTATGCCTCCAAAGGAACTGGCACAGGAATCCCCAGGGCTACAAAGATGGAAGAAGCTCCTGGCAAGACCTACATACAACAGACGGAGTGCGGGAAAGAAAGCTTTCCCTTTCGTATGTCATGAGTAATACATTCCTGTACCGTGCTCCCAGCCGGGATCCCTTTCACCGTCACACCGGAGGGTACCGGGCACACAACATGAGCTCCAACCCCACCAGACACCGCTCTACTCTGCAGCGCGATGTGATAGTATCATCGCCGCCACGCCCACCGCATCCCACGTTGGGATGCGGTGGGCGTGGCGGCGATGATACTATCACATCGCGCTGCAGAGTAGAGCGGTGTCTGGTGGGGTTGGAGCTCATGTTGTGTGCCCGGTACCCTCCGGTGTGACGGGTGAAAGGGATCCCGGCTGGGAGCACGGTACAGGAATGTATTACTCATGACATACGAAAGGGAAAGCTTTCTTTCCCGCACTCCGTCTGTTGTATGTAGGTCTTGCCAGGAGCTTCTTCCATCTTTGTAGCCCTGGAGATTCCTGTGCCAGTTCCTTTGGAGGCATACCTAGATCGTTACTGCTCTGACCTGCCGATTTACTTCTCACCACACGAGGGCGTAGGATCTCCATTCTTCCCAGCCATATACCTGACCAGACTCAAGTGGAGAGAGGATCTTCAGGATATATATACACATATGCGCATTACCTATGCGCTATCTGGTTAGTGCGAAATTCTACCACTTACACTGGGAAACAAGGAGCACTGTTTTTCACCGGACTGTGTTTATTATTATCATTTTTCACTTTTTAAGAGCGCTGCATTCCTTTTATATATGTATTTTGGGACTTTTATGTGTTTTCCTATATGTTCAGCTGCTTTGCTTTGTATATGAGCGCTTACTATATACTATTATTTTCATCTTTTAAAAAAGATTAATACATTTGTAAAATTCGGATCAGAGATCTTCCATTTTATTTATATGATGCACCTATTTAATATAACAAAATTATAAATGCTTTTTTAATTATAACAAAATCGTAAATGCTTATTAAATCATAACAAAATCTTTAAAGGTTGTTTACTTGTAACAAAATGATTAAAGTTAGTTTAATTATTACAAAATAATTGAAGCTTATTACACATTTATTACAGATTTTGATTAGTTTTACACATTTTTAGTGTGATATTTGTTCCTGCTTGTTTGAAATAAGTTTATGTATTTTTGGCTCCAACGACGTTACTGTAAGACGGAGAGCGTTTTTTATTTGAAGTTGAGATCGGTACCGACTTTTAATTGCTGTGACAGATGAAAATGTATTTTCGCACTAATATGTTGTTGAAAATTGAATAAAAATCTAGATTTTTCTGCGGGCCACCAACATTTTCTCATGGACCACCAATGGTCCACGGACCATCAGTTTGCAACCACTGTCCTATCCTATTCTGGTGACAACTCAAAACATTAGATTTTTCACAGACAGAAGTAAAAATATTTATTTATAGTAATTTTGCTCCTTGCTGTGAAGGCCAGTTATAGATTGGGGCAGTGGCCATTTTTTGTACTGCTGAATTTTTGGTGAGGGGGCGCACTGGACACCTTGGCTGCCATTGTGCTACATGAAGGATGTCCAGTGTGCTCCTGTACCTTTAAGGAGGGATAGGCTTCCTCAAGTCCACCTGCCCTTGGTCTCTGGGTGTCCAGTGCACTCCTGTACCTTTACCCCTGGTTCACATATCCACGTTCCTGTGGTCCACGTGTTGCGCAGGAACGAGAGCCCATTCATTTGAATGGACTCCCATGCCCTGGGACACGCAAGGAAGAAGTCCCTGCACTTCTTCTGAAAACACAGCCCACACGGGAACCTCAGTTCCCCGTATGGTTGCGATTTCCCATGCGCCCGCAGGTCCGCATTCCTCAGCTGCACATATTTTTGTAAGGATCCGCAGCAGCACCACCCAGACAAATGTGAATCTAGCCTAAAGGAGGGGTGGGCTAAGGTCCACCTGCCCTTGGTCTCTTGGTGTCCAGTGCGCTCCTGAACCTTTAAGGAGGGGTGGGCTCCCTCAGGTTCACCTGCCCTTGGTCTATCCATTAAATACATGTGCCTCTACTATGGGGACTCTCAAAATTTGTAGAGTTAGGAATATTGGGGTGCCATGACGAGGCTCTGTAGCTTACACATGTATTTGCAAATGTGTGCTAACTAAACTCCTGTTTTTAACGCATACTGTTAGACAGGTTTGTTTGCAGGCTGGTTGGCAAGCTGAGCTGGGAATTTTTCTTTTTTGTTGTTTGACATGCGACGCCCTTCCATGTGCTCCTTGCTGTGAAGGCCAGTTATAGACTGGAGCAGTGGCCATTTTTTGTACAGAAGTAAAAATATGACAGAGGTTATTACTCTATGCAATATTTTAAAGAAAGTTTTGGCTTTAGAAACCCTTTATTATGAAACAGGTGTCAGTGTACCTCTTCTGTAAACTTCCCTTTCAAGTGAAAAAAAATAAGTAGGGTTAGGTTGACCTTACTCCATTGTACTTCTCTAGGTGTGGTCCAACTGCTGTGCTCCACACGACAGATGAAAACATCCCCATGCTGTATGGTTGCCTCCAGGTCGACATGTATCTGGTATGTCCAGTCCCCATCAGCAAATAGTGCTGATGCTGTGACCTTATCTGATTCCTCCACCCCGTTCTTCAGCCAGGTGACTTTTATCGTTGGAGGAAAAAAGTTGTCCACAAAGCAGGTCAGTATGTTCTCGTATTCCTGGTCTGTTGATGGTGCATAGATAATTCTGATACTGGGTTCAGCTGTAACACATGGAATTACATTTTTAACAAATATTACAAAATATATGAGGTTTACAACAAGTAAGCTTGAGGAATTATTAAAATGGGGTTACCACCTCTTACAAGATTGCAAGGAGACCAAAGAAACCGTTCACATGCTTCTACTGCCATAGGAGCTTGGATGATGTGGAAGGATGTATATATATATGCTCCCTCCACATCTGCTGCTTTGCACAGCTTCAAGAATAAGTAGCAGTGTACTCTGTGATGGCGGTGTCCCCTAGACACAGTGGATCACAGATTGGGATACAGGGCTGTAACAGAACCGACCCAGACTGCGCTTGAGTACTTCCGTTAGAATACCACTTTCCCATCCCAGCTTTCAGCTGCTGCACAGAGATCCATACAGGGGATCGGTTCCAGTAGATGCCCCCCCCCCCCCCCCCCACTGTGCCGATCACCCTCCTAGCCCACATCCAATGACCCAGCTGCCTGGGCCCCCCTGCTTGCCTGGGCCCCGTACAGGTAGACTAATGGTACCTCCTTATCCATGGCTCTGGAGCCAGTTCATTAAGGACAAGTTACTCTTTTTAAAAGATAAAAAGTGTGATGTGCTGTAACAATGCACTGCATCACCCTTCATACTGCACACCAGCGCGCATGCGTTATAGGAAGCATAATGACCTATAGCTGCTAGCAGTCATTGTTGTGCTCTCTGGGCCAGGAAGGCTCCCCGTGCCCCCTCCTCCTCCTACGCTGGCAGAACACAGTAGCGCTGCAGGAAGGATTCCCCCAACAACATGATGAGGGAATCAAGCAACTTTCTGCAGGAAAGAAAATTGAATCATCTATGGCCTGTTTTAAGCTGTAAAATAAATAAACAAACAGGATAAAGCTGTATACGGAGGAGGTCACTCTGCTACTCACATTTCAGGTCTATGGCAGTAGGCTTGTAGAACTGATAGTTGTGTTTGCAGACTGTCTCCCGTGCAGCTCGTGCTTTCTCCAGTATATCCGGTTGGCTGTTCCAGTATTCAGCGCTCAATCTCCCCAGCTTGGTTTTGGCGATGAAGATTCCTTTATCACTGTCGAAGTACACATACTCCTCCTGATTGTAAATCCAAAGCTGCAGCACCCTAATATCCTCCGTCCCGTTCCGGTAATAACACTGACCCTTCATCTGATGCACAAAATCATCTGCAGGGAGAGAACACATAGTGGGGTCACCTCATCATCACACTGGGGGTCACAATGATGTCACACTGGAGGGGTCACCCTGCATCTAGAGGTGTTTGACTGCTTCTATTACCAACACCAGGCTACATCAATGTTTGGCGTTCTGTGGAAGGCCTCGTTCACATGGGGCAATGTAAGGGACCGCCCGGCAGTACCACTAGCACTCCACTGGTCAGACGTCCCCAGCGCACGGAATCTAAGCCCCAGAGTACTTGTTCACCAGGGCCCCTGATGGTGGGGATGGACTGATATGAGGAGGTCGGGTGACCCTGTTGGGATGGATGGATGGCTGAGCAAGTGCGAGGTCAGACAGGCCGGGTCGGTAACTGTGGGGACGGTGCGGTACAAAGCAGCGGGCAGAGAGTAGTCGGGTCACATGCCAGAAGGTCATATCTAATAGGGGGCATCCAGGAGAGAGGTCAGGCAAAGCAAGGGTCTGGGCAGGAGAATACAACAAGGTCAGGTACAATCCGGGTCAGCAACCAACAATACACAGGTTCGCAGATACAGGATACAGGGAAAGACCAGAAGGCACTGAATGACAGCCCAGGGCCGTTTAAATATCGCGCCCTGCGCTGTCATTGGTGCCAAGCGTGCGTCTGCGGCCTCTACTGCGCATGCGCGGACTCAAACGCCGCGGCCGGCCAGGACCTAGTGCCCGTGTCCCTGCACAGGGCGGCGCACTGCGCCTGCACCGGGACCAGCGCCGCGGCGATCCCCGACAGGCGATTACTTGCGTGCCCCGTGTAGGGCCATGCTTTGCTGGCATGGGGATGCACAGGTGTTGCATGCATTCCAGTGCTGGCAGTTACATAGATGTCTACTGGGACATGGGGCTGCACAGACACAGCCTCTGTAACAGAATGTGACACCCATGTGGGTGCCCAAAAAGCACCCTGGTTGAGTTCGGGGACATGCACCCGCACAGATGTCATATTAGAACACAGGGGCTGAGTCCATGTAGCCTCATGTTCCAATAGCTATCTATAGGACTACCAGCACCCAGGGGCATATTTACCACAAGGCAAATAAGGCATTTGCATAGGGTGGCATTTTTCAGGGGGGCAGCTGAATTTTTTAGGGGGGCAGTGCCATTCCCACGGAAGAAGGAATGGAAGAAGGGACACATGCAGCATGGGGACCAAGTGGGATCCGAGCAGGGGTGTATTTACCACAAGGCAAACAAGACATTTGCCTAGGGTGGCATTTTTCAGGGGGGGCAGCACTGCCCCTTGGAACAAGGGACGGAAGAAAGGACACATGCGGCATGGGGACCTGGTGGGTTCCGAGAGAGGCTGCGGGTTTCATGATGGTGTAGCCACAGCTCGACTCACTTTCCTGGGGATGTACGGAGCTGTGAAGGTGAGTGTCTTTTCTCTCTCTTGCCATGGGGAATAGTGGCTGGTGTATGGGGGGCAGTGGTAGTGAAAGACTCGGGTGGAGGGCAGGAGTGTTCTTGGTCAATCTCAAACTCTCTCCGTGGGGGGGGGGGGGGGGGGCGCCAATTTTTGTGTTGCCTAGGGCAGCACAAAACCTAAATACACCACTGGATCCAAGAGAGGTTGCGGGCTGCTTGATGGTGTATGCAGAGCCCTACTTTTGTTCCCGGAGATGTCCAGAGTTGTAAAGGTGAGTGTCTTCTCTCTCTTGCCTGGTGGCCAGTGTATGGGGGGCGGTGGTAGTAGAAGCCTCTCTTGGGCGTTGGTGGGGGGGGTGGCTGGGGTGTTGATGGTCAATGTCAGGCTCTCTTCGTGGGGGAGGGGGGTGTTGGTCGGTATCAGGGTCTCTCCGTGGGGGAGGGGGGATGATTTTTGTGTTGCCTAGTGCAGCACGAAACCTACATACACCACTGCCAGCACCAAGATGCAGACAATACCCATGAATTCCCATGCCAGCAAAACATGGCCCTGCATGGGGCATACAAGCAATTATTATTATACAGGATTTATATAGCGCCAACAGTTTGCGCAGCGCTTTACAAAATCACCCATGTGAATGAGGCCCAAATATCCCAATGTAACACAAAAAGTAGAAATGATCTGGACAACTGAACACCAATCACACAATTCATCCAATGATCTCCTAGATTGTAAGCTCCCAGGATCAGGGCCCTCTGTTTGTATTATAACTGTAATGTCTGCCTTCATTTTGTAAAGCGCTGCGCAAACTGTTGGCGCTATATAAATCCTGTATAATAATAACAATAATTACTGAGATACAGACACAATCATTAAAGAAAGAATCACATGTATATTACCTGGATGGGAGGATAGTAATCTGGGTAGGATAGAAGAGAGAGGAGCAGCGGGTAATACACAGCAATCATCTCTGCAGAGATCAGCGATCCTCCCACACTGGATTGTCCATCTCATAACATTGTATCACCTGCATTCCACTTCACCTGGGGGACTGACCAATAGGATGCCTCAGCTGGCTGTGTCATTAGTTTCCAGGTAGACAAGATCTTTGCTCTGCGATAAAACTGGCGTACAGAACTGGAAACGACTGCAAACATACCGTGTATATTTCAGGACATAGCTCAGATTCCTCCATGCTCCTTATAAAAAAAATACTTCCTTCAAAATTTCAGTTGGGTTTCCTGCAAACAGTGGTGGAGTCCATCAATTAATCCAACACCATCAGCGTCACTTGTTTAAATTGTTAGGTGTTAGTCACTTGTCCGGTAACAGAGGGCTCAATTTACTACAACTAGAATACAGTACCAAAATTGTAGTAAAATAGGGGGTATTTTTAGAAAAAATGTCCAAATAATTAAAAAAGTTTAACAAAACACTGCTAGTGCTATTCCTTTAAATGGTGCCGTATTTTAATTATAAAAATGTGAAAATTTTCTGCACTAACTTTGCTGGTTTTTAAGAAGCTGGCACCTGGCTCATCCTTAACCACCTCAATACTGCCGTATGTATATATCCAGGCCTCGTATTGAGGTGGTAATATCAGGATCACGGTTGAGGCTACAACTACTGTTTTTAGAGCTGGCGATTCTCTTTCTAGTAAAAGTGATCTGAGTGGCTGTACAGCTGCAAGATCCCATTTACAGGCAGCAGAAGGCCCCCCCCCCCACAGCCATGCAGAGCAGTGTGCACAAGCTGACAGGGAGAAAAACTGTTTTGTTTACAAACAGTTCTCCCCCCCCCCATCGGTAATGCTCTGCAATCACTGGGCATCAACGAGTAATCACCAGCCAGGACCGGGTGATTGACAGCCGAGGTCTACCCGGAAATGCAAAATCACGTGATTTTGCACACCAGTGCCATCCTGTAGCAGTATTTCTGCTATAGGGTGGACGGAAAGCGGTAGAAAATGTGTAGGCTTTAGAGGCACTTTAATTATTTTGTTTGTGTTTTATTCCAAATGTGATGTTTGATATGAATGCAAGTAGCTCACCATCTTTTGCTATGGTCTGTTTCAAGGACCACTTTATACACTTACATACCTCAGTTAGGCTCCTTTCACACAAGAGGTCCAATCAAGCTTGGCTGTCTGTTTTTAAGCTGGACCCAATAAAACCCTTTATTGTCCTCTATGGATCACTTAATGTAAATGGTCTTGTGTCAGTTTACACCTAGCTACCTCTGGGTCCAGTGTGGCAAAAAAAAAGATGGGGATCCATTCCTCTCTGTCTGGACCGATTAGATTAGAGGGTTTAAAACCGACAGCTGGTCTGTTTACATCAGGCTGCCCAAAGAGCAGAGTGGGCTGCTTCCATGTCCTCTTGTGAGATGGGGAAACAGCTCTCATTGTTTGAACACTGCTTGTGTGGAGTAAATTAAATGTTTTGACTGACATTCTGCAGTTTAGCCACAAGATGTCACTGTTTTTCTAACACAGCCTCAGACTGCATAGGTATTTCTATATTCATGAAGAGGTGGAGTTTACAAACAGAGTTGAGAGAGAACAGGAAGAAGAGAGAGCAGCCATGTTTTGGAGAATGGTGAATGAGGGGGCCGTGTGAGCTGAGACTCTGATGATATCCAGGTGTGAGAGCATCCCTCCGTAACCAGAGCTGCAGCTAAGTGAAGCTGATGAGATTGCTGTCAGGAATGCTGATGAGATTGCTGCCAGGAATGCTGATGAGAGCAAAGGAACTAAGCAACATATACTGCAAGACCGCATGCTTGTTGGAGAGACATTTGTTCTGTTCAGAGTCACCAGCGGATACAAAGCAGACCCAGGTCAGTAAGATTGTGCACGCACCTCATTTCAGTGTTGGCGCCTTGAGACTGAGTCCAGGCCTATAGTTAGTTAGTTAAGGTCTCTGTTTGTGTCAGGCCACAAGTGTTGTTACTGATCATTGGAAGGACTCCACAACTTAAAGTGACATTTCACACTGGAGTGCTGATAAAATCCCACAAACTCAAGCCAGACTGGCGTTTTGGTGTATAGTGTGCTTGGTGTGTAGTGTGCTGGGTGTATAGTGTGCTGGGTGTATAGTGTGCTGGGTGGACGGCGTGCTCGGTGCTGGTTGTATAGTGTGCTGGGTGGACGGTGTGGGGTTGCTCGGTGCTGGCTGTATAGTGTGCTGGGTGTATAGTGTGCTGGGTGTATAGTGTGCTTGGTGTATAGTGTGCTGAGCGGATGGTGTGCTGGGCGAATGGTGTGCTGGGTGTATAGTGTGCTGGGTGACAGTAAGAGGAGCGGGCTGCTTCTGTGTCTGTTCTGCATAAGAGGAGCGGGCTGCTTCTGTGTCTGTTCTGAATAAGTGGAGCGGGCTGCTTCTGTGTCTGTTCCGCATAAGAGGAGTGGGCTGCTTCTGTGTCTGTTCTGCATAAGAGAAGTGGGCTGCTTCTGTGTCTGTTCTGCATAAGAGGAGCGGGCTGCTTCTGTGTCTGTTCTGCATAAGAGGAGCGGGCTGCTTCTGTGTCTGTTCTGCATAAGAGGAGCGGACTGCTTCTATGTCTGTTCTGCATAAGAGGAGCGGGCTGCTTCTGTGTCTGTTCTGCATAAGAGGAGCAGATGCTTCTGTGTCTGTTCTGAATAAGCGGAGCAGATGCTTCTGTGTCTGTTCTGAATAAGCGGAGCGGGCTGCTTCTGTGTCTGTTCTGCATAAGAGGAGCGGGCTGCTTCTGTGTCTGTTCTGCATAAGAGGAGCGGGCTGCTTCCGTGTCTGTTCTGCATAAGAGGAGCGGGCTGTTTCCGTGTCTCTTCTGCATAAGAGGAGCGGGCTGCTTCCGTGTCTGTTCTGCACAAGAGGAGCGGGCTGCTTCCGTGTCTGTTCTGCATAAGAGGAGCGGGCTGAGTCCGTGTCTGTTCTGCATAAGAGGAGCGGGCTGCTTCTGTGTCTGTTCTGCATAAGAGGAGCGGGCTGAGTTCGTGTCTGTTCTGCATAAGAGGAGCGGGCTGAGTCCGTGTCTGTTCTGCATAAGAGGAGCGGGCTGAGTCCGTGTCTGTTCTGCATAAGCTCAGCAGAGGATCAGTGGATGGATCCCCTGCTGAGCAAAACCTGATCAGGCCATAGACCAGGTCCATCCAGCCAATAAGATCACTTGTCGAATAAGAGCTCTTCACAGACAGTTCAACTCTCCAATAAGACATGGCAGGTATATCCAGCATATCATTACTTGTCAAAATGCAGTACATGGATGGTAAGCAGCCATATTGAAGTATAAATGGACAATGATCTTCTACACCTTGTGCCCACTATGAAGTCTGGAAACTAATCGAGGGAACAAGAAGAAGGGAGGGTTCTAGCTAACTAAACCAACTAAACCGACTAAACCAACTACACCAACTAATGTAGACACTTGGTTAAACTGGATTACAACTGGATTGTACCACTTTACAAGCATGAAAATAAGATTTTTAGTTACCGTAAACTACATCAGCACAAAGATATTATACATGACATAATGTAATGCAATACAAAGTAATGGATACGCGATAAGTGTTCAAGAACACTCCCTGTCTGAAATAATCAAATTTCACTTATAAACCATAACATGCCCTTAGTCCAAAACAGATGAATTTTCCTTAGACCTGAAAAATATAACACAGGAGAAACAATAATGCAAACATGTAAATACAAGAACTTTAGTCTATATAGAAGGAAGATGATTCTTGAACCCCACCTTACAATCCCAGAGGTCACAAAGACAGAAATGCTGTCCAGTTAGCATCTTGGATCAGTCTTTGCAAGAGGTCACCTCTCCAAGGGAGGGGAAGTTTGCAAATTCCCTTGAGGTTGAGTGTCTGTCTAAGGCTAAGTTCACACTAGCTTTGTTAGCAGGTGTTTGGGAAAATTTTTTAATGCTCCTCAAACGCCTATGAAAATTCTACACATGGCAGCACACAGTGCTGTTCACAATGAAGCATTAGCATCGCAGCAAAATTGAAGCCTCATGTCGAGTCAGGAGGAGTTGAAGCCTCCCATTCAAGTCTATGGTGCTGATCCTCAAAGGCCTGGCAGGCGTTTGCTGGGCGTTTGCAAGGCATTTGCGGAGCGTTAATACCATTAAACTTCATTATAGGCATATGTGGTGCGGTTTTAATGCCTCAAAAACGGGCATAGGGCGTTTGGGGAGCATTTGAGGAGCATTAAAAATGCTTCCCAAATGTCTAACGCCTGTCAAATGCTATAGGGGCGTTTGGCAAGCAGACGAGCTTTATGGGGATGCTGACTTTCCAGCAGGGCTTGGCACCTGCCACACTGCCAAAAGCACCAAAACCTGGTTCAATGACCGTGGGATTACTGTGCTTGATTGGCCAGCAAACTCGCCTGACCTGAACACCATAGAGAATCTATGGGGCATTGCCAAGAGAAAGATGAGAGACATGAGACTGAACAATGCAGAAGAGCTGAAGGCCGCTATTGAAGCATCCTGGTCTTCCATAACACCTTAGCAGTGCCACAGGCTGATAGCTTCCATGCCGCGCTGCATTGAGGCAGTAATTGCTGCAAAAGGGGCCCAAACCAAGTACTGAGTACATATGCATGCTTCTACTTTTCAGAGGTCCGATATTGTTCTATGTACAATCCTTGTTTTATTGATTGCATGTAATATTCTCATTTTCTGAGATTGTGGATTTGGGGTTTTCATGAGCTGTAAGCCATAATCATCACAATGATGACAAATCCCGGCTTGAACTATCTTACTTTGCATGTAATGAGTCTATCTCATATATTAGTTTCACCTTTTAAGTTGCATTACTGAAATAAATTAACTTTTGCACCATATTCTAATTTTTTCGAGTTTCACCTGTAACTTTGATGCAACGTTGGATGGGTGCAACTTGGATACGACTTTAATGATAACGGACAACTGTTGCATATATAACATTCAGGTGCAACTTTCATACGACTTTTGAGGGTTTACATTGCAGTCTATGGCACTCAAGTTGCATGAAAGTTGTACCGGAGCTGTGCGTGAACTACTTTGAAGTCGCTGCAACTTTAAGTCGTACATGATGGTTGTCATTGAAAAAAATTGGGTACATCTTGTCATGCAAATTTAGTGTCCAAAGTCACATGACAAATTGCACAAGTGGGAATGGAGCCTTAGAGATAGTAGTCAAACAGTTCATGAGCTTATAAACATCAGCATTGTTGTGAAGGATATCAGTGTTAATAAATTCTTGATTGGCTGTTGAAGTATCAATATGTTGTTGCTATGAGTGACAGTCTGGAGTGTTGTCTTTGTGGGTCTAGTGAAATTTTGAATTCCTAGTCAGGCAATCTTGTTAGAACTCACATCACCTGAAGCTTGAGGTTTGGGTTCATGATGAATTCCAATTATTATCCATCCTAGGTCAGTTCTATGGACATAAGGAGCGTCATTCCAGCCACTGGGGGAGATTTACTAAACCTGGTGCACTCAGAATCTGGTGCAGCTGGGCATGGTAGCCAATCAGATTCTAACTTCAACCTGTTCAATTAAGCTTTGCCAATAAAATCTAGATGCTGATTGGTTTCTATGCAGAGCTGTACCTGATTTTGCACTCTCCTATGTTAGTAAATAACCCCTACTGTGTTGCTCGTGTACCTTGTGTAAAAGCGGCCATAGATGGAGTGATTTTCTTTCCTGCAAAAAATCGTTTGGTGCCCTCCCACAGAGCCATTGGGGTTGATTTACTAAAGGTAAATAGGCTGTGCCCTGAAGGTGCACCGGAAGTGCACTGCAAGTGCAGATGCTTTAGATCCGAGGGGAAGCTCTGAAATGAGGTGAAGCTCTGCTGATTTCTTTCATCCAATCATGTACAAGCAAACATGCTGTTTTTTATTTTCCTTGCATGTTCCCCTTAGATCTAGAGCAACTGCACTTCCAAGTGCACCGCCTATTTAACTTTAGTAAATCAACCTCATTGTGTTCTACCAATGGGAGCAGAAATCGAATGTAAAATCCAACAGTCTGGTTGTACCCAAGTTGATCGAATGACCAACTTGGGTACATTCATCCTGCCCATACATGGTTTGAATCTTAGCTGGTCCCCATTCACAGGAGTTCCCTTACAGCAGCGCTACTTGCACATGCGCAGTGGGCACCCGGCTGTGAAGCCGCAAGATGTCACAGCCAGGTGCCCACACTGAAGATGACGGTGCCGGGAACACCAGATGGTTAGTGATGGATATACAATCAGTGTTCCAGAACATGCTTGGCTAAAGTGCGTAATGAAAACTCAATGTAAGTTATGAAAAAGTTTAAAATTGAAAGTGGACTGATAGAAAGTTGTCTTCATAGTTAAAAATCTGTGTATGAACCATCCTGCTCCCTGGAAAATAATTATGAGAAAAAAGAGTGAGACCCCTCCTTCTGTAAAAGTATGGAAAGAGGACCTGAACCTTCTTTTTGATATGAAAAATTGTTACATGAGCTCACAGTTTTCAAGCATACAATGGGGTTGATTTACTTTGAAATAGACTTTGAACTTTGCAAGTGCAGTTACACTCTGCAAGGGAGTTTGCTCCAGAGGTGAAGCTTCCATTTGCAAAGAATACCCAATCACATGCAAGGAAAATATAAAACAGCATTTTCGCTTGCACATGATTGGATGATGAAAGTCAGCTGAGCTTCCCCTCATTTACTGAGCTCTGGAGCAAATTCCCTTGCAGAGTGCAACTGCCCTTGCTAAGTTAACAGTCTATTTGCCTTTAGTAAATCAACCACACTGTATTTCTAAGCAGTTCTGTATGGTAATCATAACTGGGTAGAAAAAACATTTTTTTAAATAGCTTCTGAAACACAATTGTAGATATTGGGAACTAATGTATAACTACATTCTCTTTTTTGGAAATCTGATTATGTCATTCAATATAGTTTATAATTACTCCATATGTTTGGCTGAAATGTATTCAAGATCAGATAGAAAGATAACTGAGAAAAACACTCACAGGAGAGTGCAAACACCTAATGTATTGCCATAGACCTTTGTTGACCATAAATTGCACAAAATCATACTCGCAAGTGTGCTGAGAAAACAGGCATTGTGTCATGAAATATTCCATTCCAGCACTGGGGTGGCATCACACAGCCCAACTGGTCCTTCAATAGGTTTACAGATTTCGGGGAATGTGCCCCCTTCCTTTGTGCCTCTGAAGAAGGGAGACACGTTACCTGAAACATGTAAGCATTTCTATTGAGGGACTGATCAGGCTGTGTGATGCCATCCCGGTGCTGGAGTGGAAAATTATGTGATACAATGCTTGTTTTCTCAGCCCACCTTTTCGTTTGTTTTTTGTGCAATTTATGGGTCAATTCTACTGTATTGTACTAGAAGTTTGCACCCTTCTGTGTGTGGTTTTTTTTTCAGTTATCTGTGAAGATTCTCCTTTCTGAGGAGGGCAGCGCCAGTGGAGCATTAACATCATTTTATTTTGATACCGTCTAGATCAGTGTTTCTCAGCCTTTTTTTCAATCAAGGCACCCTCTCTAAAATTATGGACAATTCCGAGGCACCCTTTAAAATTATGGACAGTCTTGAGGCACGCTTTAAAATTATGGACAGTCTTGAGGCACCCTTTAAAATTATGGACAGTCCCAAGGCACCCTTTAAAATTATGGAAAGTCTTGAGGCACCCTTTAAAATTATGGACAGTCCCAAGGCACCCTTTAAAATTATGGAAAGTCTTGAGGCACCCTTTAAAATTATGGAAAGTCTTGAGGCACCTTTTAAAATTATGGAAAGTCTTGAGGCACCCTTTAAAATTATGGAAAGTCTTGAGGCACCCTTTAAAATTATGGAAAGTCTTGAGGCACCTTTTAAAATTATGGAAAGTCTTGAGGCACCCTTTAAAATTATGGACAGTCCCGAGGCACCCTTTAAAATTATGGACAGTCTTGAGGCACGCTTTAAAATTATGGACAGTCTTGAGGCACTCTTTAAAATTATGGAAAGTCTTGAGGCACCCTTTAAAATTATGGAAAGTCTTGAGGCAACCTTTAAAATTATGGACAGTCCCGAGGCACCCTTTAAAATTATGGACAGTCCCGCGGCACCATTTAAAATTATGGACAGTATTGAGGAACTCTTTAAAATTATGGACAGTCCTGAGGCACCCTTTAAAATTATGGACAATCCCGAGGCACCCTTTAAAATTATGGACAGTCCCGAGGCACCCTTTAAAATTATGGACAATCCAGAGGCACCCTTTAAAATTATGGACAGTTCCGAGGCACCCTTTAAAATTATGGACAGTCTTGAGGCACTCTTTAAAATTATGGACAGTTCCGAGGCACCCTTTAACATTATGGACAATCCCAAGTCACCCTTTAAAATTATGGACAGTCTTGAGGCACCCTTTAAAATTATGGACAATTTTGAGGCACCCCATTCTAAAATGTGAAAAACTATTCTAATAGTATTATATAATGCAGCAACATCCACACATGTAGGACACCCAAAATTAGAGGTGATTTATTCTTCCAAAGCAAATACACTTTTGCCCACTGGTGCTGAATGTTACTCTTCCTCCTCAGTTTTCTCCATCCCTGAGCTAATATGACCCCTTCGCTGATGGAGAGGGGTGGGGGAGGGTCAAACTAGGATATGGTGCAGGCAGCTGACATCCTCCTTATCAACTGATGATGTCATTGCTTGTTAGGACTCTGGCAGCTCTAAGGTCGTAATGGTGCACAATGAAAACCTGTGACTTTGTGTAACTAAAAGGCAGGCTTGTTCCACCCACTGGCTTGTATACAAGTTTTGGGCAGTTTTTAGAAATCTTGCCAAGGCACCCCTTAAGAAACCTCAAAGCACCCCAGGGTGTCGGGGCACTCTGGTTGAGAAAGGCTGGTCTAGATGTCTGGATTTCTGGAGCTCTGGGGAGTGTGTCTTAATATCACTTGGAAAGAATTTTAACAACTTGGTCCTGTAAATAATATACATAAGTGTGAACTTATCATCCAAGGTACAGAGCAAATCAGTTGCCCTCCCAGTGTTAATCCAGTGGAATCTATTAAATAATTTCTGAGCCCGCAGTGCTGGAAAGTTGAAAATGAACCATTAGCATAAATCAGCATCCCGTTTTTTCCTAGGTTCTATTAGCCAGCAGTGTATTTAGTTCTTGTGCTGCCCTAGGCAACACAGAACCCCCCCCCCCCCCGGCACCACTAACCTCTTCCACCACCATCTGCCACCCCTAGGCAAAACAGCAGCAAGCCCCCCCCCCCCTCAATCACCACTGACCACTGCAACCATTACCACCCCCCCGACCGCCACCTCCCAATTCACTAACCTTATCTCTCCAGAATCACAGAAAAGCATCCTGCCATCCCCGCACCCTACAGCAGCGCACACCCTCCTCAGGTCCTTGGCCGTGCCTTACCAGGTCCCTTCTTCTGAGGGGCAGCGTGCACTCCCTGAAAATTGCTGCCCAAGGCAAGTGCCTTGTTTGCCTCCTGGCAAATACTCCGCTGACTTTAGCAGAGCATGATAGAGAAGCATAACAATGAAGGACTTTCAAAGTGCAACACCCTCAGCAAATGAATGACTCACAGCATAAAGTATTTAATCACCACTAAGCTTTTTCTTTTTTGCTAAACAAACTAAAAAAGGCAAAAAAAAAAAAAAGCATTTCTTTGTTTCTGTTATTAAATTTTGGCAATAAGTAATTTTTCTCCTTCACTGATGTGTGCTGATGAGGCTGCACTAATAGGCAGCACTAATGGGCACTGATAGACAGCACTGATAGATGGCACTGATAGGCGGCACTGATGGGTACTGACAGGCATCATAGATGGGCACTGAAAGGCAGCACTGATGGGCACTGGCATGTGGCACTAATAGGTGGCACTGATGGGCACTGATAGGCGACACTGATAGGTGACCCTGACGGGCACTGATAGGTGACCCTGACGGGCATTAATAGGCGACACTGACTGGCACTGATAGGTGGCACTGATATGAAGTGATAGACTGCACTGATGAGGAGGTACTGCTAGGCAGTGCTGATAGGCATTGACAGGCATCACTGATGGACACTGAAAGGCAGCACTAATGGGCACTGATATATGATATATGGCATTGATGGGATCTGATCTGCGGCAATGATGGGCACTGAAAGGCATGTATATTAATGGCACTGTTCTTATTTTCACTACTGGGGGTGATTTACCCATGCTGTCACCCAAGTTTCACAAACATGTCACCCAATATGCCTACATATTTCTAATAAAATCTTGAGGTAAAAAAATATACAACTTTTGGGTGAAAATTTTAATAAAGACACCTTGGAGAGGAGAATATACACATATATTAATTGCTTGCTGTTTGTCTTTTGCACCTGGACTGATACATTCTTTTGAATGCATTTTCTTCAATCAGTAGCTTCCTCTCATCCTTTGTTCAGTATTGTGTTTCATTCCTTTCATGAGCAGGAAAACTCCAATTATGATCCCAGTTACTCCGGCAGACAAGCCAAGAGCACAGACTATGGTCTCTGTTGTCTCTGATAGCACTGGGGGAACGTCAGGTTCTGTAGAGGCAAAGAATGAAAGACGGCAGACAAAAATAAGTGAATATGTCATGTCAATCCTAAACATTATTAAGTCATTTTCCCTAAAGTGTAACTCCATTTTTAATGAGGAAAAACAACCCCCTCTTGGTGATCTATGTACATTGCAGAGGTTTTAACATTTTGTTAACCAATTTCCTACCTTTTGTTGCTGTGAAGAAATAGCTGTTTGTTTCACCAGACTGATTTACTACTGATTCTGAATGGGAGGTTCTGGTTCATTATTAATCAGCTGATGCACTTTCTGTGTTCTCATAAGGAAAGCTGCAGTTTCTGCTTCTCTTTAAAACTGATTATCCAATGGGAAATTTCTCACCAAAAACTGAAAATTCTATGAATTCTATTACAGGGCGTGGCTAAAATCTGATTTTTATCTTATTTTAGACTTCTGAGAAAATCAGTGATCCAAACACACAAGCAGGAAATTACGTTTCTGGGGAAGTTGTGATCACAGGAATCCAATATTGTGTTTCAGTCTTGGCCCTTGCATGCAGAGATTTCTCCAGATTCTCTGAATTTTTTTATGATATTACATTATATTGCCAAAAGTATTGGGCCAGCCCTCCAAATCATTGGATTCAGGTGTTCCAATCACCTCTATGGTGAAAATCAAGCCCCTAGGCATGCAGACTACTTCTACAAACATTTGTGAAAGAATGGGTCGCTCTCAGGAGCTCAGTGACTCAGGGGCGGACTGACCATTTGGAAAACTCGGGCACTGCCCAAGGGCCTGGGATCAGTAGGGGGCCCCATGAGATGCCCCTGGTACCTTTTTCATAGGCTTTTTTGAGTTTGGGCAAGGACACAGGGGCCCCATGATCCCCTATTGCCCGGGGGCCCCATGAGTTGTCAGTCCGCCCCTGAAGTGACTCCAAGCGTGGTCCCGTGATAGGTTGCCATCTGTGCAATAAGTCCATCCATGACATTTCCTGGCTACTAAATATTCCACGCTCAACTAATAGTGGGATTATAACAAAGTGGAAGTAACTGGGAACAACAGCAACTCAGCCACCAAGCGGTAGGCCATGTAAAATGACAGAGCGGGGTCAGCGCATCCTGAAGCACACAGTTCACAGAAGTCGCCAACTGTCTGCAGAGTCATTAGCTAAAGACCTCCAAACTTGGTGTAGCCTTCAGATCAGCATGACAATAGTGTGTAGAGAGCTTCATGGAATGGGTTTCCATGGTTGAGAAGCTGCATCCAAGCCTTGCATCACCAAGTGCAATGCAAAGCGTCGGATGCTGTGGTGTAAAGCACGCTGCCACTGGACTCCAGAGCAATGAAGACGTATTTTCTGGAGTGACGAATCATGCTTCTCTGTCTGGCAATTCGATGGACGTGTCTGGATTTGGTGGTTGTCAGGAGAATGGTACTTGCCTGACTGCATTGTGTAAAGTTTGGTGGAGGGGGATTATGGTGTGGGGTTGTTTTTCAGGGTAGGGCTTGGCCCCCTAGTTCCAGTGAAAGGAACTCCTAAGGTGTCAGCATACCACGACATTTTGGACAATTTCACGCTCCCAACTTTGTGGGAAGAGTTTGGGGATGGCCCCTTCCTGTTCCAACATGACTGCACACCAGTGCACAAAGCAAGGTCCATAAAGACATGGAGGAGTGAATTTGGGGTGGAGGAACTTGACCGGCCTGCACCTCAACCCAATAGAACACCCAAAAGAAAGTTCATAAAGTAAAACATGAGTTTCCCTCACAGGGGTTTTCAGCATTTATCTTCCATCCCAAAGAACAAGATTAGTCCTCCTGATCTTTAGTCTGGTCCCACAAACTGTGACATAGTACTGCTCAGTACGGCTCTCACAAAAGACTAGGCAGTCCCTTGCTGTTCTGGCTCCCATCTGTACTCCTGGATACAGACCTCCTCTGTGTGTCAGGCTGGGTTAACACTGATGCGGTGCGGAATTCAGCATCGCATCAGATTTGCACCCCGTTCATGCGAACCGCTGCAGGTGTGTATGTTCTTATAGGAATCACATAATAAATCCCCAATATTTGTATCTTTGTCCACAGACTTACCCCAGAAGATCCTTTGTGCTTCATCCAGGCCCCAGTGCTCCACTTCACATGTGTAAATGTCATTTATATTTGGGATGAAAGCCAGATAGAGAAACTTGAAGAAAGAGTGATCCTGGCGTGGTAGGAAGAGGCTTTCAGTAACCCCCCGGTCTATCTTCTCTCCATTCTTCAGCCAAGTTATATTCATTACCGGAGGAAAGATGTTTGTCACTGAGCAGATCAAGATGTTTGGCTCTCCGAGTACTACAGGGTGTTCCGGGTACACTCTCACTCTGGGTATAACTGAGAAGAATATGAGAAAGTCATCCTGTATGGCAGGCATCACAGATTCTAACTGGCTACACATTGGCCTACTACTTCTTTTCCATCAATACAGGTAGATTGCCATATGTGGCCTAGTCACTCTGTAGCCATCAGTAGCAAACACAGGCATAATATGTTTATTTAAGAAGTATGGACAAAGTTCTTTTGACCATACTTGTCCTTTAGGTCACACGGGCTCACACAGGTCTGTGATCTGTATTCAGCCAGTCCACACTCTGGAGGGATCCTAACTTTAAAGTGTTAATAAACCCACAACAGTAAAATCAGTCTGTAGATGCAGTAAAGCATGCTTGTTATACTCACTGTGGAACCTAAGGGGTTAATCCGCTGCAACTGTGGGTATAGGATTAAAACTTTTTTTTTTTTTTTTTTAATGGTTGAACTGGATGGACGTTTGTCTTTTTTCAGCCAGACTAACTATGTAACTACATGTAAAAAGGCTGTTTGATCCTGTCTTCTCTGTTCCTCCACTTTTTCAAGCGACCACCTCTTATCTCCAGACTGAACTGTAGGCATGCACATGCTCAGTTTGGTGTGTATTGCTAGAGAGGCTTTCTATGCTTGGGAGGGTGCATGTGATCAGCATAGGGCCAATCAGCACTGTCCAGACAGAGGTCAGAGGTTTCACATCCTCCTAGAGCAGAAAGAAGACTCCTCCTACAAGCTTTAACCAGTGGTCTGCTGAAGTCACAAGACTGCTCTAACTGCTGATGAGAAAAGGTATTTAGCAGGTTACATTTACTAAAATAATTGCATTTCCATGTTGTGTGTACTGTGGGAGACCGGATATAGTGAATGCAGGATTCAAGGAGACCAGATATAGTGAATGCAGGGTCAGGGGAGACCAGATATAGTGAATGCAGGGTCTGGGAGACCAAATATAGTGAATGCAGGTTCCAGGGAGACCAGATATAGTGAAAGCAGGTTCCAGGGAGACCCAATATACTGAATGCAGGGTCCGGGAGACCAAATATAGTGAATGCAAGTTCTGGGGAGACCAGATATAGTGAATGCAGGGTCCGGGGAGAGCAGATATAGTGAATGCAGGGTTCGGGGAGAGCAGATATAGTGAATGCAGGGTCCGGGGAGACCAGATATAGTGAATGCAGGGTCCTGGGAGAGCGGATATAGTGAATGCAGGGTCCAGGGAGAGAGGATATAGTGAATGCAGGGTCCGGGGAGACCAGATATAGTGAATGCAGGGTCTGGGGAGAGCGGATATAGGGAATTCAGGGTCCGGGGTTTAGTAGCACTAAAATGTTGGGATCCACCCAGATGCCTGATCAGAAGCTGGCTCAGCCTCTCAGTGAACCACTAAGAGCCTGAGCCAGCTCCCTCCACAGCCCGTGGCTCCAGCAAGCACTGGATGGGGAAGAGAGCCAGTGGACAGTCACTGGAGACCAAGAAATGAGCAATCAGTAGTCTTTGATCGCTCAGTTCTTGGTCTTAGAGGAGGCAGGGGACAGATGCAGCATACATCTAAGTTAATACAGTTTTGCTCAAAAGATGGCATACCCTAGTAGAAATCATGAAATTTGGGCATTTATATTGAATATATGACTGATCATGCCAAAAAAAACTGTCTTATTTAAAGTGTTAATAATCCCAGGATGCTGCATTGACTATATCTGGTCTCCCACAGTACACACAACATGGAATTACAATTATTTTAGTACATATAAGCTGCTAAATACCTGTTCACATCAGCAGGTAGAACAGTCTTGTGACTTCTATCAGTGTCCAGCAGATCACTGGTTGAAGCTTATAGGAGGAGTTTAATTTTGGTCTAGGAAGATGCAGGACCCCTGGCCTCTGTCTGGAAAGTGCTGATTGGCTCTGTGCTGATCACATGCATTCTCCCAAGGAAAAAAAAACTCTCTAGCAATGCACACCAAACTGAGCATGTGCAGAGTGAGTCCACACGATATGTCTTATCATCGTTTTTACACAATGCAGAGGATAAACCCCTTAGGTTCCACAGTGAGTATAACAAGAATGCTTTACTGCATATACAGACTGATTGTACTGTTGTAGGTTTAGTAATAGTTTAAGGATAGGGATCATATGAAGCCATTTATTATCAAATAGTTGTTTGGCTCCTTTTTAAATCATAATGATAACAGAAATCAAAAGTTTCCCTCCCCTGGAATGTTTGGCCTTGATACAGACACACACAGGTTAAAATGGCAATTAAAGGTTCATTTCCCCCATCTGTGGCTTTTTAAATTGTATTTAGTGTCTGTATAGACCAGGGGTGTCAAACTGGTTGCCAAACTACAAGTCCCATCATGCTTCTACCTTTGGGAGTCATGCTTGTAACTGTCAATCTTGCAATGCCTCATGGCACTTGTAGTTTGGCAACAGCTGGAGGGCTGCCAGTTGGACACATGTGGTATAGACTATATAAATAGTCAATGAGTTTGCTAGCTCTCATGTGGATGCAATGACCAGGCTAGATACGGAGCCAATGGGAGCATAAAAGAATTGTCAAAGACCTGCATAACAAGGTATTGGAACTATAAAGATGGAAAAAGATATAAAAAAGAAAATGCCAGTCATTACAGTTCAATCATATACTAGGAAGTTTAAGAATTCAGAGATCTCTTAATACTAAGGTCAGGTGGACCAAGAAAGATTGCAGCCACAACTGCCAGAAAAATTGTTCGAGATACAAACAAACCCTACAAGTAACCACAGGAGAAATACAGCTCAATACGATGATATTTGAACAAAAATGGGCTGCATGGTCAAGTTTCAAAAAAGAAGCCTTTACCTCACCAATGCCACAAAAAAAGCCTGGTGAGGCATGTCACGGTGTTGTTGGGCATATTGTAACCAGGCTTTTTTGTGGCATTGGCACAGTAAGGCCTTCTTTCTGGCAACTCAACCATGCAGCTCATTTTTGTTCAAATATTGTATTGTGCTCCTTTAAACAACCACACTGTCTTTTTCTAGATCAGCTTGTATTTCTCCTGAGGTTACCAGTGGGTTTTTCTTTGTATCAGTGTAGACATTTGATTAATTGAGCTTGCTAATATCAACAGTATGCAGAAATTGGTTATAATACTACAGTAACAATTTGTTTAACCACGTGACCTCCAGAGGATTTACCCCCCTTAATGACCAGGCCTCTTTTTGCTACTCGGCGCTGCACTAATTCAACTGATAATTGCGCGGTCATGCAATGGTGCACCCAAACGAAATTTACGTCCTATTTTTCACATAAATAGAGCTTTCTTTCGGTGGTATTTGATCACCTGTGCGCTTTTTATTTTTCACGCTATAAACAAAAAAAGACCAAAAATTTTGAAGAAAAACAATATTTTTTACTTTCAGCTATAAAAAATATATAGTAAACTCAAAGTTGGTTATAAATTTAGGCCAAAATGTATTCTGATACATGTTTTTGGTAAAATAAATCCCAATAAGTGTATATTGATTGCTTTGTGTGAAAGTTATAGCGTCTACAAACTATGGTATAGATACTGCAATTTACGCAATTTTTTTGCTATACAGCGCTGCGCTAGTTTAATGGACAATTGCGCGGTCATGCAATACGGTACATAAATGAAATTTACATCCTTTTTTCCCACAAATTGAGCTTTCTTTTGGTGGTATTTGATCGCCTGTGCGGTTTTTATTTTTTGCGCTATAAAAAAAAAGGCTGACAATTTTGAGGAAAAAAAAACAATATTTTGGACTTTTTGCTATAAAACATGTCCAGTAAAAAAAAAATTTAAAAATCAAATTTAGTCATAAATTTCTGCCAAAATGCATTCTGCGACATGTCTTTGCTAAAAAAAAAAAACCCAATACGTGTAAATTAATTGGTTTACGTGAAAGTTATAGCGTTTACAAATGGCAGGAAAGATACTGGGATTTTTAGTTTTTTTTTATACTAATAATGACGGCGATCAGCAACTTATGGTGGTGATCAGTGACTTTATGGCGGCAATCAGCGACTTATGGCGGGGACTGCGGCAGACATTCTGACATTGGGGGGTACTGACTTGGGGTCACTGACATCCCCAGTAACACCAATACAGTGATCAGTGCAAAAAAAAAAAAAACACTGACACTGTACTAATGGCACTGGGGAGGAAGGGGTTAAGTTTATTTTTCAGGGAAAGGGCTAACTATGTGAGGGGAGTGTTTTACTAGGGGTCGGGGGTGTGTACTGCAGGGAACACCGCTAATTGGGAGAGAGAAACTCTCTGTCCCATTCAGCGTGTCCTGGAGCTGTCAGGGAACTGACAGAAAGCACAGCTACTGCAGCTGTGCTCTCTGTCAGCGATTGCCGACGATCGCCGGGACATAGCCGGTAAGGACCGGCTGTTACCCGGCGACTGACATCCGTGGCCGTGATCGGTGGGACAGGTAGGGCAGCGGCACGCCTCGCGCGCACGCCCTACCTGTTTACAAAACACACGTTTTTAAAACATGGTTTTGCCCAGCCATGCCACCCTGCATTTATACGACGATTTATACAGTGGCTGGGCGGCATGTGGTTTTAAAGTACAACTAAACCCAATCACTGAAATCTCATAAAAAGCTTTCAAATGCTAATGCAATTTCACAAGTTGAGTTCAATCTTTTTTTTAAACAAATGCTTGCTGCAGTTTGTTTTTTAATACATCCCCTGCAATGCCTTCTCCCTCAGAGGAAACTGTTATCCCAGTGAAATGGTTCAGCCTGTGTGACCCTACTTCTACTCAGTGGCCCTGACACAAAGATTATTAACCTGATCCTGGACAATCATGTCTTACATCTTGCCAACTGAAACTGCATCTGCTTAGCGAGACTGTTCCATATAGAGTTTCTATACGACGTAGTCAATTACAAAGTGGATACCTCCATTATAGCCATACTGATAAAATGTAGGACCTGTGTCGGCAGGCTTTTGTTTGCATCAGAACTGCTTCATACACTAACAAACTGAAGCCAAACTCTAGATCACA